AAGTTTGTGTACTCAGACCAGTAATATTTGGGGTCACAAGTTTTTGCCATGGATATTTTGTGGGTCAGAAGATAAAAMGTTTGGGAACCACTGGTCTAGAACCCTGAGCTTTTATCCTTAATGACTTTTTTAAATGTTCATTACTTTTACTTTTACCTATACTACTTTTACCAAACTCATTTAGATTTTTCCAAACATTACAACAAGAGAGTTCTGGATGCTTTTAYATAACCTTGTAAATTTTTCTTAATTTCAACTACTGATTTGCAGATTAAAAAAAAAGACCCTGCTTAAAACAGCACATTTAATGATTTTAAACTTCCACCTGGAGGGTTATTTTCACTTTAGGTTCTATTTTAATCTACTGTGCAGACATTTGAAAATACATATTTATTTTAATAACAAATAAACAGTCATCAAATACATCATRAAATGTTTTAAATGTGATTGTGATCAGGTTTTCCATGTTTTTTGTAGCCCTCTGGTAGCACATGACCTGGTTTCGACAGTAAAGTATCGATACTTGACTTAATCTAAGTCATGTGATGCTCAGCTGGGCTCAGCTCTGATGCTCCATTGTTCTTGTAAAGAGTCTTTTCAGACAACCACCAAGGTGAAGGTTTTATTATGTTTTTTAACTTATTTTTGCTGACAAAGTAAATAAAACGAAAGAAACSAACCACTTATTGCTTCCTCTGCTTTGTGTTTTTGGGTTGTGGAGTCTGACACCTGAGCTGTCTGTGCAGCTGGAAGACGGAAAGGTTGCCTGATTTGTCACCTTCATGGGCTGACTGAAGCCTCACTTCTTCAATACACACAGACGTACACGCGCGCACATAAAGCACACRCTGTTTTTGTTTTACACGCGCAACAGGAGGAGAGGATGCGGCGCAGACAGATCTGATTCGTGCCCAATGTTTCTGCGTTTTAGTGTCCTGCTCGTTTTATTTTAGGGCTTTTATCACAAACACTGAAGTTAAAATAAAAAGAAATAACACTCTGCTGGGCTGCTGTCTAGACAATTTTAGAGAAATCGTCTGTTTTTTGTAGTGCAGATCCAGACATGCTTGTCTAAACTCGCGCGTCATTTGGCCACTGTGGATCTCCACATCAAAGGCACGCGCTTAGAGGAGGTGTGCAGTCAGGAGGGGGGGCTGGGGGTGCGGACCGTGACAGACAGTAGCATATAAAACCTCTTTGAGTGCCTTGTGTTGTCACTGTGCCAACAAGACGCATCCTGGACGCAGCGCCGTTTGTTTGTTGTTGTTGTTGTTTTGGCGCATCCGTGAAAATATGGCGCACTGGTTGGATTTTACTGGTAATGTTCCCGACGTGTTTTACTCAGGACAGCACTGGCCAGTTACGCACCTGGACATGAGCGACAATTACGCACAGGAGTTTGGCACAGGTGAGTCTTGTTTACATTCTGGAGAACAAAGTTTCCTTCAAGAAAACTTTTTTATTTGTAAACTTGTCTAGGTTAAAAGTCCAAAACTGTGATTATCTTCGCCACATTGAGCCAAAGTTGATGGGATGTTGTTTTCTCTTGCAGTGCGCGGTGATGCCTTCAGGCCCCACTCGGAAAACCAGCGCCGCCGGAAGCGCACCACCTTCACCAAGGCGCAGCTGAGCCTCCTGGAGTGGGCCTTTTCTTTTACGCATTACCCCAATATTAAGATCAAGGAATCTCTAGCCTCCATAACCGGTTTACCAGAGTCTAAAATCCAGGTATGACACGTTTTTCACCTGTTTAGTTCAGATGTTTGGTTTTAACTGAAAAACTAAATCTTTTGTTCTTTTCCAGGTCTGGTTTCAAAATCGACGCGCGCGCCACTTTAAGAACAAGAAACTAACCAGAGAGGCGTCCAAACTTCCTGCAGGYAACCTCCAGCCGGAGCTCACCCACATCCCACCCTGCAGCCCTCAGCTGGACCCCAGTCTGCCGTCAGGATACCCCGCTCCGAGTCTGCCTCAGTCCTCCAGACTCTCAACAATCCTGGACAGCTCCGCGGCCCCCCTTCAGTCACCCGACCTGCATGGATCGTACCAACACAGCCGCTGCTCAGACTTGTTTGATTTCCCTGAAAACGTGCACGCGCCCAGCGGRCTCTCTGACTGGGASTGCGCGGAGCTGGAGGCTTTCTTCGGAGACGCGCAGCTGGAGGGCAGTCATTGCGCTGCAGCAGATCACCCTCCCCAGGGTCAGCAGGGCCTCAGCAGCCACCRGGACTCCCTGGAGGACTTGTCCGACCTGAGCTTCCAGGATCTGCTGGGCGACTTCACTTTTTCAGATCTGGATTTTTCAGATCTGGGTTTTTCTACTCCAATGATTGATTACCTTTTGGACTAAATCATTTTAAAGTATATTATGCTTGATATACTGAGAACATKGAATTATTGGTAGATATTATATATCACAACGGAAATATTAAAAACTAAAAATATCATCTACACTATAGTGTTTAATTTGTGTCCATACTCCTACATACCCATCTCACTGCCACGTGGCGCCGTGGCTTAGTTGGTTAAAGCGCCTGTCTAGTAAACAGGAGATCCTGGGTTCGAATCCCAGCGGTGCCTTTTTGATTCCTTTATGAAGTTTTTTCTTTTTAGTTTCATATTTCAATCCTAACACGTCAGTTCGACTAAAACCACATGTTGATGTTAACACATTCAGACAGCTTAACTCAGTTTTCTTGTGTGAATTAAACGCAAACCAAAYTAGGCTTCCAGTTAACACTCAAAAATAATTACAAATTATTGTAAACTATTATTACATACAAAGAGGGACGGACACGCATACAAAGTATAAGATTTTCTTTTATTTATGGAGAAAAGGTAACAAAACGTGTTTTTTTCTTACTGCGTTTTGTCCAGCAGAGGGCGCCATGCGTCCAAAAAATCTGCTGTGCAAAGAGGTGAACTCAGGAATGCACTTGTCAAATACAAAATAATAGTAATGTAATGAACAGCAGAAGTCAGTGTGTGCTTTTTGAGTTGTGAGTCATATTTTCAGATTAATAGTTGTGAAATTATGTCATGCAGTCAGTAAAAAGGAGGAGAATTTTGGAGTACATGTCCTAATTTCCTAAAACACACTGARTCATAGTTGTAGCACATCCTCCTAAAGAATACGTGTTGTGAATTCATCAACAACAAATATAACTGGCACTACTACAAAGCTCATATATGGGTCACAGAGAGATGTGTTTAAAACACATGGTTTTTATCCCTTGTTTGTCATTTCTCTGCTCTGGATGAATCGGGCGCCTCCTCACTTTCGCAGCCCAGCCAGTATTTTGCAATGGATCGTGGGTAAGGAGGGCTGACGATGTCCACAYGTTTCGTCTGCAGAGCCACTCTGTAGTACTTGTCTGTGGTGTTGAATCAGAAAAGAAAAATGAGGAAAAGTTCACTTGGAATGCAGCCTGACTGTTATTTTGTAAAATGTATGTAAAAAATACCTCTTGTGAAAAAGTATACATTCTGAACAGGGGTACTTCTGTAGTCCTGCACTGTGGTCTCATCCGTCATGTCGTTGTAATCATAGCTAAGCCAGTCACTGAGCCACAGGTCATCGAAGACGTGACGACTCGGCCTCCTCCGATGTGAGCCTCGTCTCTTGCTGGGCCTCCTCTTTCGGCTGTTTCGCCTCCTCGCGGGCTGAGGAGACGCCGTAGGTTTGGGACTGAGGTAGACTTTTCCCACCATGGTAGCATCGACGGGGGGCCGGATGCCGATCCAGTCTCTACTGATGAATCGGGGCTCGGTGTTGTAATTGCTGCTGACTGATGGATAATTAAAGAGAGGGTTAGAGTTAGTGAGTGAAAAATGAAAACGACATTAGAAGAACACAAATTATAGCAACATTTGGGCCTCACAACTTCCGAATAGGTCAGTGAAGAGATCCTCCAACGTTTCATCACAAAACAGGTCCGTGTATTGTGTGAAGAGCACAGAGGGTGAGGATCTGCTCATTGTGATACACTCTTCATGAGACGGCTGGTGCTTGAACTCGTACTGGTAATATTTATCCCCTGTAGAAAGACACAGACCGTTTTCATTCAAAGACAATTCATTCTACTTTTAAAGGGAGCCCTGAGTTTCACATTTACTTCAACTGTAAAACAAAGACCGTAAAAATACTGTAAGCTGTTCAGTGTATGTAAATAAAAAAAATTATATATTGCTTACGCCACAAAGCAAACTGGGTAAAGCTCTGTCCATCCTCAAGATAAAGTTTAGACAATCTCTGACGATCAGTGTCCTTTTAAACGAAACATGAGTGTGTTGACAGAGAGGAGAATATAGAAATGACTCAGCCTGTAATGGAAAATGATGGAGGACAACAGAACAGCAGAGCTGCTTCATGGAACGACACGTCAGCTTAGCCTCTTAGCTTTCACTTTAATACCTGAGCTGATCAAAAAGAAATAATAAGCAGGTCCTCTGGATGGGTTCTTCTTTAGTGAAACGTTTCGTCTCTCCTACAAGAGACTTCTTCAGTCTGATGAGTTTCAGGTGAACTCAGCCTTATAAGCACTGCCTCCACATGGACAAACAGGTTAGTCACATGCAAAAGAGGGCCATCACCTAACAATAGGCTTGATTAGCTCTATTTAGTCACATGACTCTTTTCCTCTGGAACTCTCTACCACCTGACCTGAGAAACACCACCTCTCTTCCTGTGTTCAAGACTGCTTTATAAACACATCTCTTTAGATTAGCATAATCCATCTTAACTTCATTTGTAATCCATGCTCTGTAACTCGTGCCTGCTTGTCTTTGTATTTTCACACATTCTCCTACGATGTGACCAATGCTGTAAGTGTCCTTGGGTGTCCTGAAAGGTGCTTTACAAATAAAATGATTATTATTGTTGTTGTTGTTGTTGTTGTTGTTG